TTTTTATTTATTTTTCCAAAAAAAGAACACAATGCTAACGCTGAGCATCTGAATTAGCAACGAGCGAAAAATGCTAACAGATGAATGCACCAAATTCACTCACAAAACCTTATTATTTATCTTTGCTGCACATCTCAACCCATCGTTTCACATCGTGAGGGGACACAGAATCGAGGGGTACCCTCATTATCACTCAATTATATGAATTCTCGGAGATAATAACAAGAACACACATCAAAATATATGGAGCTAGTTAGCTAAAAACTGCAAATTGGCTCACTTGTGTGGTAGTCTGGTCAAAAGTGGTCTTCAATGGCATTAAAACGATAAAAACGATGCTGAAGTTAATCCATAGGTTAATCCAATGTGGCTGTGTCCCTTTGAATGATTTAGACTAGAGACAGCTTCACTCTGGAGCAAAACTGCGTGCGCGAAGCCCCCACCTTTTTGTTTTACCATGTGTGGGAGATTCCCCTTCGATTATATTGGCTCTAACGGTCAGAAAGCGATGTCAATCACCAAAATCGACCAATGGGTTCCAGAGAAACGGTAAAACCCCCATTTCCACCCAAATCACCTCAAAGGTGGGAGTTTTTTTTCTAAATCTCTCTAAAAAGTTCAAATGTCACTAGTTTTGCATCAATCTTGATACAGGGTACTTATATGTTGTACTTTGGATTCCTAAAGCTTTTACCATACCTTACTACCTTACCATCATCAAGGGTAGTTTTCACTGTATGTAAAAAATAATATTGGGACCGACACTATAATTTACAGTTTTTTACTGTGTTCAATCTGAATTTTCTTTAAAATAAAAAACATCTATATTGATTCTGACTTTTCTACATCCAACTCACAGGTTTATCATTACTTTGAGAAAAAAGATTATTAATGTAACCCTTTTAGAAGGGAAGATATGGTCATTTTCGAGCCTGAGACTTGAAAAACAGGCTCGGGACACCACTTTTTACACAAGCAAGAAACTTAACAGGTTAAGTTGTATACATGTAGAACTTTAAGTAGACTTATCTTAGTTTACATTTGTAGTCTTATCTCAAAATCATTAGTTCACATAAATGATGTCTTAGTTGTATGAAATAACTTGTTTAAGTTAAATATAATAAATAAAATTATTTATCAATGCTTAATATCATGTTTTAATAAAATTAATTGTACCATTTTGATTTGGGGATTGTATTTATACATTGTTTTACCAGAATTGTATAGAAGGGAAAACATGAAACAATACATTTAAATATTCCAATGTTTTTATTGACAAAAATAACCTCGTCAACCAGAAGACAAGCAAAGGCAGGAATTAGAACCCACAACATTTAACAATATGTGTGTGAAAAATCACACACCTAACAGTGAAAGTCAGCGAACAGTGCTCAGTCTCAGAACATTATGATGTCACTGGTAGCAGCTGAACAGCAGTAACAAGTGTCAGTGCATTTCTTTACATTGTAAGCTGGTTCTTCAATGTTTGCAACCTTGGCTTTAGTTCATCTTAGCCCAACGTGAGAAGAACCTTTTGGATGAACTGGAATGTGAGCATCATGGTCTTGGGGTAGTTGAGATGCAGTGCGTATGTAAGACCAAACAGAATGAACATCGCTTTTGGCAGGTCTTGGATGTTGTCGATCACAACTTGTCCCTCAAGGATGATCTTCAGCGAGGCTGGACTGCGATGCAGGGAAGATGAGGGACCAGCACCTTCATGCTCAACCAGGAGGATCCCAATNAATGACTGTATACAGCCTGATGGGTTCAAGCCTTTCTGAAGGGTCTAGAGACTTGATTTTAACTGCTAAAATCGTTATATATATTTTTTTGTTGACACAAAAATCACTTCAAATTTTCCAAAGGGTCTAGAGTCTAGACCCTTCAGAAAGGCTGGACCCCATCAGGCTGTATACAGTCATTGGCCCCCACGGGGTAGCAAAAACCTGTGTGTGTGTGTGTGTGTGAGGCGTCTCAGGTCTTTTGTGTTTGATGTCAGAGCAGCACTGATCAGAGCCGGGGGGGCTCCATGCTGCGCTCTGCCACTTCGCTGTTCTAACATGTTGCCACAGCAAACACTTGGATCACATGTCTATTTATCGCCGCCAAAGCTGGAGCCATCCATCACAGCTGGAGCCACGGGGGCACCTATGGGATCAGCAGCGACTTTATTTAGACCCATTCTCACCCCCTCCCCCTTCTCTTGCCTCCCCCCTGCACGCTTGGTCCAGCATCTCCACCACTGCTTACCACAAAACCCTTTCAAGTCTCCTCATCTTACTGCGCCTCGCCCCGCTGGTCAGTCATACACATCAGCACAGACTGAAATACACTACTCTAGTGTTACAAGCCAGCAGAGATCATCTTAAAGATGTACACAGCATGTTTAGTTTAATAATCATTCATAAACTAATCATCAGATAACACTCTGATAATCTGTTGACGCTTGGACGCTTAGCTTGTGCCAATATTTCCAGATAGTCGCCTGTTTATCTTCAGCAATCCTTCTGTAACAGTCTGAATGGGATCTCTGTGCTCATAATGTACTTTATGGATTGAAGGATCTCTGCTGCCTATCAGAAAATGTCATTTCTGAACAGTGCATGTTATTGAGTGTCTGTAGGTTTGAGGGATGTGTAAAGGATGTTGCGGTTAAATCACTGTGGCTCGCTTTGTACTGTGGAGCCCATCAGTTATCTTATGTTACAGGCGGTCAGGCTTAATCAATGTCACTCCCCGCCTCATTCAGAGCAGACAGCTCCTTCTGTACGTGGCTGCAGGTGCTTGTTAATACGGCGATGCTGTCATTGTACACTTTCAGCCTCCATGGCAGCCATATTAAACAGGAGAGTCTTCCCAGAATGCCTCTGACTCATTTGACATTTCACTCTGAACCCCATGTCTTTGTCTCCCCAGCCTGCAGCGCTATCTGTATCCCTCTTATCTCTCTATCCATGTTTAGCTCACATTTCAGTCTTTACATTCAAGGTTACCACCTTTTTAAACATCTACCATCCCCTTTTTAAACATCTAACATCCCCTTTTTAAACATCTAACATTCCTTTTTTTCACATAGTTTACAGACATTTTCTGTCACCAGCACTTCGTCTCTTAAAAAAATATTAGGTGAAAATCAATCAGTTCTTATTATTTGATGCATAACATTTCAAGATGATCGTTGAAGATTTGTCTAAAGTATTGGCACCAGTTTGCACCACCTGGTTCTTCTGCCGGTTGTTTCCATTTGATTGAATTTGCTATGTAATTAGGAGTGACTGAGGCAAGGGCCATGGGTTTATGGTTAGCATAATATCACCCTCAGGAGCCCTCTGAAATAGGATTGACTTCGGAAGGCATGTCTAATTATGGTTTTATACATGGATATATTCACAAAAAGCTGCCCTGCTGCAGTCTTGAGGCTCTCAAAGTTGTGAGCATATAGATGTGAGAATATCGAGCTCTATCCTCCAGGGCATGGCATAATGAGATTTGAAAAACAGGCTAAGGAACAGACTGTATACTGGTTTTGGCCCTTAACATTTAAATTGGTAATTGGGCATTTGTGTGAGCATTAAACATTTAGATTAGGACTGAAATTGAGACCCTATTGCCTGAGCCACTGCGGGGTATGATCCAATTTGTATTGCATCTTCAACTCTTGAGTTTGCTTGCTGAGTTTTACGAGTTCAAGACCTGCAACATGATCACACAGGCTCTGCAGGCATTCAAATAAACAGTTATACTGTACGTGAAGGTACTGAATCAGGTCACATGTGGGATACAGATGTCTGTGTGCTACTAGGTGTTAGATTTAATAGGCTTTACTAGCAAATATAACAAATTAGTCTTTGTGTGAGGTTTGGTGTATCAACACTAAATAAAGAAGCCAGGAAGTTAAATTGCACGTGATGCCCCACGAAAAAACATTTTTTTATTTACTGGAGATCCGCACTGAAAAAATGAGCTTTTTTAAACTTACTTCTGTTTCAGCTATGGTTGATTTATCCATCATAGTAATAAATAATGTACAACTAGAAGAAGAATCTAACCGACAAGCAGGGCCGTACGGTACCATTAACAAAACTAAGATCATGTCCTCGGGTAATATTTCTGAGCATCAGGGGTCATGACATATTGAATTTAAAGGCAAAGTTTGAAGATGAATGTGGCCAGAGTAATAAGAGGGTAGAAAGTGGGCTTTAGGTTTCTGGCCTGAATTGATGTTGTGGCTGGTGTAATACCATTGCAATATATTCTCTAGTTTTCATGTGTTTCAACCTGTTTTAAGCAAGAACATAGTGAATAAAGGTGATTTGGTTTTATCCAACAGAGTAACAGACCTATAAGAGTTGAAAAAAGCTTTGGAAAATCGAAAATACAACCGTTAAACAAATGAATGGGAGATTTTTGTGATTAGCAGCCCTGCTGAAATAGTAGTGTGCTAATAGATAATGCTCCACTTACTCTTGAGATAAAACCATCAGAAATATATTTTAGAAATAGTCAGATTTTCAGATGGTAAAGAGATCTGTTGTTCTGTAGTTGCATTACAACAATACTTTTGTTGAGAGAGCTTCTTAACCAGGGGTATAGGAGGCCTTGAAGTAGTTCAATTTGGTCCCCTTAAAAGTGGGGAATAGTTTTCCACTCTTTAATTTACTAAAAAGGTGAAATGTGAATAAGACGAACTACTCTGATCATAGGTTGCACATAGGAGCACTTGGTCTTAATGATATCCAACAATTCAAGATTTTCAGATGGAGGTCCCTGAAAGTAAATCTTCAATGTTGAGAATCTTCACACAAAAGATGTATAGTGAAACATTGGCCTTGCCTAAACACTGACCTTGCCTAAACACTGCATGAACTTTTTTTTGCAATGCTCATAAAGTCTTCTTTACAGGCTTAAAACGTGCATCCTCCAATAGAAAATAAGCTACACTCTCTCCTCCTCCTATTCCTCCTCTGCGTGGCACGGATCACTCCTCATACCGAGGCTCCCTGTGTGTACGCCGCTCCTGTAGAAGCAGGAGGATGAACTGATGGCTCGTATTTCTTTTGACTTTCACGTTATGTTATTTTGTGTCGCTACTGTTGCGGTTAGTTTCCGGCCCCCTGGCTTGTCGCCATCCCGCTGGATGTCTGTGAGAGCGGACTGACTGCAGGTGAATGTCCGGAGTGTGAGAGCAGTCCTCTGGATTGATGCTGGCGGAGAACACGCTTTGAAAAAACCTCCATCACCGCACGACTGAGTGTCCACTGGTAAATTCAGTTTTATATCTGATGGAGGCAGTTTATTTCTGTCATTTTTACCTCAAATAACATCGTGTTGTTCAAACTAAGACTACATAATTTACTCAATAATGATCTATACGAAACCTGAACTTGTTAACGCACGCGCACGAGGACAAGCAGCGCGTGCAACAGCTCATCATAACTGATCAAACTCATGAAGTTTAAAGCTAATATATTATATCAAATACATTTATAAATATTTGTTTAGTTTGTAAAACAACAACTGCATTTTTTTTCCTGAGGAAGATACATAATGTCTTGTAAACAGGTCTGTCATAGTTATCTCCGCCAGGCGTAAGCCTACGGGTAGCCTATCATGTGAGCCAGGCGTAAGCCTACGGGTAGCCTATTATGTGTGTGCCGAAAGCTAATCTTGCATTCTAGTAGACACAGCCGCCAAAACATTTCTGTGTACGTTTGTGAATGTATGCTCAATGACCACTTGAGTTTGTTGCAATTTAAAATACAGTATCTGGAAAAACAATTGTATTACTATGTACTGTTTTGAATACTCCTCACTTTTCTAAACTGGGTTTTATGGTGACTACTTAAGTAGCAAAAGGCATTGCCGACAATGTAATATACTTAAAATAAGCCTTAGGCAACCTAGTCTGTTGCAGGCACCATTTTGGCCTTTGTCATAGCCAGAACATGGACATATAAAGGTGGTGTTATGGAGCCTCTCAGACTTATTTTAGACCTGCTATGATCCATTAACGTTATGCATACAAGCTGAATAAATACCAATTTGTATTATCTTCAAGGACATCAGTGAGATTCAACTGACACCTTGAGACACACTGGATCACAATGTCCTTCCAAACATACACTTTATGGTCCAATTGTCTTCAACAGTGTTTATTTTATCTGACCATCAGTAAACATCTCAAAGATATTCAATTTCATATCAAATATGTCAAAAAAGCATTAAAGAATCTAGAGCGTTTACATTGTTGTGCCTTTTTGCTTAAATTATTATATTATTATACATATATTATAAATAATACAAAATATTTTATTAATTTGAAAATTGAACCAAAGTGGTTTCAGTTCTGTTATATTAATTTCCAGTAACACCAATTATAGGTAACAAGTCTTTAAAAAGGTATTGAACATTGTGTCATTGTTTAAAGTGGAGTCACTCCATTCATCCGCCTCATCTGTCGGCTGCAATGATACTGGCTCACACAGAATAAACGTCTGTGTGCATGGTAATATGCCTGGAAAAAAACAAACAGAAGAGGAATCATTTGTATGTGCAGCAGCCACACTGTTTGGTGTGCTTTACTGTACATTTGTGCACTCACCATCTCTCACTACACAACACATGGCCCTGTGTGTCAGACTCTCATGTTTGTGCCTGAGGGGTAACAATGTGCAGTCGCTGCTGTTTGCAGAGAGGTGCCAAAGCCAAACCCTGTCCCGGTGACCAGAGGAATTTTTCCCTGAACTAATTTTGAGCCTGCCCTCTGTTGAACCCCTTGCAGTCGACTTGTTTTGTCATTTTTGCTGTGTCATGTTGCTCATTTTCTTCTCATAATTACCGAGGCTCCCTTTTAAGAGATCACTAACACTGAATACAAATATTCGGTTTTGGTTTGAGAAGTCCAGTTCAGCTAAGGTCCGGTTGATGTTTCACCGTGAGGTGAGGGTTGCCTTCAGGTCTTTCCGTTCTAATTTTCCTGCAGGTGGGTCGCGTTTCCTATTTGTGTTAGTGGTGGTGTAACCGGACCGCAGAGGCCTCTCTCAGACAGAGATGTGTGAAAGCAGATTTGCGAGGAGGGGCCACCTGTTGACAGCATGATTGAGTGGGCAGTTGTTTTGTAATATTAAGAGAAGAAACATGCACATGGGGGGGATTTATCTCTGTTGTCTCTCGTGTTTTTAAATTTTTTTTATTCCTCATCCCTTTCTCCAACATTACAGTAGATTCCTCTCTGCATAATCCTCCCTCCCCCGCTCCCTGCAGCCGCTCTCCTGCCCTGCCTGTGGTATAAATAACAACCATGTTGAGGAAATCTCACCTCTGTGGTGCATCAGCATTTGGGAGAGGGCCGGGGATTATGTGGTTCTCCTATCTTCCTCATCTATCTGTTGACAGTCTTACTGTGGTCAGTGGGTTGCTGTAGCAACAGAGTTTGTACTGAATGTCAGCCCATGGTTTATGTTATCTATCTTTATGAAGCATTCATTGCATCGACTGTGCATCATCTCACTGAAACAGAAGGGGTCTAGCAAGCAGGACATCTATGTGGAGTTTTTTTTGTTTAAGCTAAATGTCACAGTTATGGTAGAACGGTACCAGACTCTGATCCAGATTCAGATCCCTCTGCATGTTCTTATTGATTTCTCTTTTCCTTTTAAGTTTGTAAAAACAACCAAGATGATAGGAGTTTTCAAAGGGAAAGAACAGCAACACAGCTGTATATGTTGTTGTAAGTGAATTTGCAGAAATACATAAACTTCTAAATGCACCCTTTTCTTCAAAAAGTCACCTCTTTCTAGATAAATCCATTAATCATTAGGTTTGCTAACATTCAAACCTGTTGATGTCTTTAAATGCTCTGTTATCCTTCGTTAAAAAAAAGGAAAATAATCAAGAGTACTTCATTTACTGTCACATAAGAAAGAAAAATCAGTTCTGATGTGGTTTGTGGTAACACTCGTCTCTCCGAGTCTGGATCACTGTAATTTTTGTCTCGTAACCGGTGACGACAGTGCATAGGAAGGTGGATCGTGCCAACCAATTCAGAGGCAAAGTGCAGGGGGATTGAAAACAGAAAGCAAGCCAGAGAAACTGTTTCTGAATAAGGAGGGATGAGGGTGATGTTTCAGCCTTGATCCTTTTTGTTGTTGTTAGAAAGAGATGAAGAACATGGTGAGGTGACAAAGCTGGGATCAATAGAGGAGAGTGCAGAGGAAGGAAGGTGACAATGAAGCAAGGAAGCTCCACACCATGGAAAACCATCGAAAGGGTGAAACAAACCAACATGTTTTTTATGTTTTTACGGCATTGCATTAAAAGCATGTTGTCCCCGACCTTTTTGTCTTTTGACCCGTTAAAACAAAGCCATAACTACTTGTGACCATTTTAATTAAAAAGGTACTCAAAAATGATATTTGTAGACACATGGGGAGGGGCAATTACTATCTCGGCTGTGTGTTTGCAGGTGGCAGCAGGGGATCAGGTGGTTGTTTTTTAGCAGGTTGAGTTCTAGTTCAAAGCTTCTTGTTTGCTAGAATGTAACAGAAAATGAAAGACCTGCCGGCCAGACTGGTGCGCGAGGTGTGAATGACGTATGACACGAGCGAGCAACAGTGTTAGAAGTATCGCCCGGAGCTGTGGTCGCTGTGCTGATAACTAAGTGTTTACACAGGAGGCTGTTTCTATCAGAAAAAAAGCTAGAAATGTCAGGTGACGATGCACATAATATCTTTTTATTCAAGATCTCTCATCTTCATGTTGCATCTGTTGCATCTTTAACTGAAGGTATGCCTATTTGGATATAGAAAAATTGAATTAGATACATATACTTTAGCAAAGTGCTTATAATGATGTGTTCTATCAGCACACTTTGGTGTGATAATATCGTGTATAATTACTTTCCAACCTGCTGTTTATTTCCATCCAAAACGACTTCAAAAGCACAGACAGGAGAGAGATGTAATCTGTATGTGAGGGCTGTGGATGGATGAACATGAGATGAGGTGAGTGCATGCCCATGGGGGGTCTGCGCTCACATTGCCGAGTCTCTCTAGCTGAGATAAAAAAAAATGTTCCTCCATCTGTGGATTCATGAAACGCCCTGATGAAAGACTGGAACAGCGGGTCCCAGCTGAATGTTTTTGAATTAGTCAACTTTTGTGTCTAATCTTTAACTCTTTTGAACGCCTGGGGTTTTTAAGTTTAAAGGCTGACGAGTAACTGCCTCAACACAATGCCATCCAAATAAAAGGATTGGAGAACTATTGTTTCAGCACTTGTTTTGCTTCCAAACAGTGATGTTGTTACTCTTCCTTGTGAAGTGTTTGAAGTGCTCGGTCTACAGAGAAGCAGAACAATGTTTTATTTAGATTGAAAGTGAAATCTGTTTGTGTGTTACAGGATCTGGCTTGCTGCACTGCTAAAAAAAGGTTTTTCTCCGTCCTTCTCGAAGCCTTCTTGATTTCACAATGGGTTCCCGCAGCCAAGGCTTCTTCCACCACCACCACCACCATCGTAGCTCCATGGTGCCCACTCTGGTGCCGCGGCTACTGTCTGAGAACGGCAGCCTGTTGGGGAGCATCGCCCAGATCACCCCCAACCTCTTCCTCAGCAGAGGGAACGTGGCGTCCAACCGCAGCCTGCTGCTGTCCAAAGGCATCACCTGTGTGGTCAACGCCACCATCGAGCTCCCCAACTTCAACTGGCCTCACATGGAGTATGTAAAGGTCCCTCTGGCCGATATGCCCCACTCCCCCCTCTCGTTGTACTTCGACAGCGTGGCTGATAAGATCCACAGCGTGGGACGAAAGCGAGGGGCGGTGCTGGTGCACTGTGCGGCGGGGGTGAGCCGCTCCGCCTCTCTGTGTCTGGCGTACCTCATGAAGTATCACCGTGTCTCTCTGGCCGAGGCCCACGCCTGGGTCAAAGCCCGCCGCCCCGTCATAAGGCCCAACGGCGGCTTCTGGCGCCAACTCATCGAGTATGAGAGGAAGCTGTTTGGCAGAAACTCCGTAAAGATGGTGCAGACGCCCTACGGGGTCATACCTGATGTTTATGAGAGGGACCGCAGGAGCCTGGCTCCGTACTGGGGCCTGTGAGATCCACAGTGTGGAGAACGAGGAGGAAGTGAAGTTGAGCCCTTTGGCCCTCCTGATCTGCAGCTTCATGTGTGTTCAGGAACGGCTAAGTGAGACGTGTGTAAGCGTACATCTGTTTAAGGCTTATTTAAAGAATTCTGGTGGCCTTGGGATGGAGGAAGTTTTTAACCAAACACTGATGGTTGAGGCTGTTCCAACCAGTCACCTCGATGTAGTCTTTGGGCAGGAACAATGTGACTCTTGATCAGGACCACAACAATGTCAGCGTGGATATCGGTGCTGTCTATCTCCTGGTCCTTCTTTTTAGTTCCACTGTAGGATGAGCCCTCGGTGAAGCTGTTCTCTGAGCTCTGCAGCTCTGACAGTGAAGCGACTGAAGTCCTTTTCCTGGCGTAATGATGTCATGTGTGGTGGCGTTGTCCCAGTCCTGCAGTAATCTTTAGTGTGAAGGGCAGCAGCATTCTCTCAATGTATGGTAGCATTTAAGAAACGTGTACAGAAAAAATATTGACAAATTATTTGATTGGAATATAATGACGGTGAGGAACAAAAAGCATTCTTTAACTGAATATTTAAAGATGTTATTATACCTGCCTTTTTTAAAGGTGAATATCTAGAAGTCAAAGGTTAGGTCCTGTGTAACACAGGGTTGACGGTTCCATCCTGTGAACACACTATGTTATTGTAGTGCTTTTTGATGCTGTTTAAAAAAAAATATATATATATATATATATATGCCGCCTCTAGGGGAACTGGTAGCTCTATGATAGATGCTTTGAAGATTATTTTTCATCCCACTGCTTTGGCCAAAAATATCAGAGCATTGGTTTTTGCTCTAAAAGAGGGATGTCAGAAGCTAAAGGTCCTAAATCTGCTGTCTTTTGTTGGTTGACATTTTTACTTTGCTGCATGTCCCGTTCCAAAATCCATAATTACTGTGCACTTTAAAAAATGAATACTGCAGTAAATCGCATTACACCCATTTATCAGGACTTAAACCAATATTATCACAAAAAAAGTAAAAGATGCAGTGATTCATGCTTGATGTCACCTTATCACATATTGTGTAAAAGATATGTAAAGCCGAGTTTTATGTATTTTAAATCCAGCATTGTGTACATCAATGTTTATGTGATAGCAGTCTTATTTTTTTCCCGCTTCTGCTGGTGCTTTGCTGCGTCTTCTGGCACATTACCGCCACCAGTAGATCAGTTGGAAAATACTAAACCTTATGCAGGATTGTGTTTCATGTTGCTTGTGAAAGAAACTAAATACTAGTAATATTCACAGTTAAGCTATAATTGAAGAAGTAAAACATTGCACATTTGGAAAATAACCAAAAAGCACAAACCAACCAAATAAATATGACTCTAAACAACAGCCACCATTTTCTTATTTGTTTACCAGTAGCATATTAAAATGTATCCTAGCTGCCAGATTTAGCTCTTCACAAAAACTAGGACTACTTTTTCTGTGTGTGTTCCAGAGCAAATTCACACGCTTCAGATAATGCAATGCTACGTGAAGTGGTTGATGTGACGCATTTAAAATGACCTCTTAAAGTTGTCTGTTTTTAACAGTCCAAAAGATATAAGAGAAAATGTAGCAATTTATGACGTTTTAGAAGCTGAAACAAGCGATAAATGATTATGATTGTTTAAAATCATGAATTTATTTTCTTTCTGTTGTACTAATCTCACATCATTTTATCACATGACTATGACATATATGACTGTATGGGGTTAGGTTTGTATGTTAATTAACCATGACTCTTACCTACTGTACACTGCAGTAAAACATCACTGTTGGGTGTGGTCATCTCACATAACGCAGCAGTCATGTTGACATTTTCAGAAACAGAGAGATCAGTGCAACAATGTTTTTTTTTTAACAATGCCATAATGTATTACGTGTCGTATTACAATATAAAAAAAGAAAATAAGTTTAGGGGTGATTAAGTAGGATACAGATGATCTGTAATCTGTCTCTAATGTTTTCTTTCCCCAAGACAGTCGTATTAAAATTCTAAGAAAAACATGTTTCTATTTTCTTTTAAAACTACTTTCTGAGATATCTTCACATAAACACACTGCAGCATTTTCTCTGCCAAGTGCCTCTTAGCATTCGTTCTACATTGCCATTTCCCGAGAGGTTTTTTTTTCAGATGTCAAAAAGCCTCCTGTCATTCATTTTCAATGTCTGTTTCTCCAGAGCAGCAGGCATATTATTGATGAGCTTCATTTAGCTAGTGCCCACTCTTTCTGAAAGACATGCTGAGTGGTCCACAAGGAATGCCATTACCCAGAGAGACATTAGTCTGACCACAGCAGAGATGCACTGCAAGCGATAGGACCAAATGATACACTTCAGTTCACATACTATTAATTAATAAATATTTAAAACTTGGGTACATATGAGAGGTTTTCAAGGCATGGTCAACGCTAAAAGTGAACACATCCTTCAGCAGCAGCAGCAGCAGCAGCAGCAGCAGCATTAGGCAGAGGTCTTTGCATCATGGTGGGCTTCAGAGGCCGAGCAGAACCAACAACTCTGATTGTGTTTGAATGGATGACATTCAAGACAGCAGCAACTCAACAGGAGGCAACAGACATGTGAGCTGCACAGAAATGTTATTTAAATTGCTTATTTCCATCACAACATATACGTAAACAACCAACAGCTAAAATATAAATAAATGTGTTTAATGAGGTACACCTTTTTGATAACTGATGGGTCATTCATTGATTTTACAAAAAATATTTTAATTGAAATTTTATTTGGGGAAAATCGCATTAATAAATACAATGGGGGCTAATAGAACATGTCTGTAATCATATCAGCACAGTGTTGCATATCAGTGCAGGTTTCAATCACAAAAAGCAAATATGAACATCTGCTTTAGCTGCAATGAATGCCTGAATCAGGGCTTCTCTAGGCTTCAAATTATACGGCCTTTAATTATTCACTATAATCGGCAAGAGCTACAGCACTACTCCCGTTTCAATATGTGTAAATCCTGCATTTCCATCCAACAAGGTTATACGCACAAGGCCAGTTGTTAATATTAACATGCTACTTTCACAACTTCTACCATTTCAGGCTTGCCGCCATCGTTAGTTCTAGTTATAATTTGACAACCTTATTTGGCTTATTTTTGTAGGGAACAGACACAAAGAGAAGGAGGATGATTATTTGGATGCCAGCAGCACTTGGAACCTTAATAAAAGTCCCAGAGGAGAGTTTGTAAATTCTGTTAGCGCTACAAATATAGATCATGAAACTGTCCAATTGAAGCAGTGATAAAGAACCCATAACTGAGAGAAAATATGGCAGTAAGAGAGTTAAAAAAAGCCTTACAGCCAGATAAGGATCATCTAAAGAAGGGCTTCCCAAACTTTTCAGCCCGCGACCCCCAAAATAACAGTGCCAGAGACTGGCGACCCCCTGTCGACGGGGGGGAGGGGGGGGCCTTGGTATGAAAAAGTTTGAGAAACACTGCGGTTCTTATTTGTAGGGCTCTGTCACTAAATATTTATTTTTGGTTTAAACTATGTTGGAAAATTAGTTTAATATAATTTTTTGTTTTTGCTATGAACAAAATTCTGAAATGAAAGGCTGCGCGCGAGACTGGTTTTTCGCTGGGTTGAGTCGTGTGGGTTTTTGAGTGAGGATGCGGCACAGCAGCCTGTCAGTTTACTCTTGCTAGGTTAGTTTGGCTATTATCATTTATATTTATCTGCAACAATGTTATCAGGAAGTGGTTCATGAAAGGCATATGGCAAACTCAGCGCCCAGATGCAGGCAAATTAGAAGAAATCAGTTACGTTACCAACGTAACTGATTTGCCCAGACAAGGGAGGCTGGCAATCAATTATATTTTGAAGAGAAATTGACTCAAGCCGGCTCTCTCACAAACTCCTGCTCTGTGCGCAAGCAGACCGCTGCACACGCTATCTGCCTCGCTCAATCTCTCTCTCTACCTTTCTCTCCATCGCTCAACCTCACTCCACCCTGTGTGCGCTCCTCAAGTTTGCCTGCATGCTTGCCCAAGTTGGCACAGCGTTACAAATGTGCCACAAAACCAACCAATGGATGCAGCCTATAATAAGACCGTCAACAGCCTTATGGCAACCTAAAACCCCTCTGTTTCCGTAAAAACAATTCACGAGCGCCTCCCTCACCCCCCGCCCCCGTTGACAAATCTCGAGCGTCTAACAGCCCCTCCCCCCCGTTGACAATTCAGATTTCCCGGGAAATGTAAGTTTCGGGGTGGGCCCGTCCTGGTAAATCAAATGCCCACCCAGAGACGTATGTCTGCCGCCGGATTGTTTGTACCATTTTCAGGCGATTTGTAATCTGTTCTAGAAAAACGATGTGTTTTTTAGGATTTCAAGAAGCATATAGAACAAACAATGGATGTATTTTATGAACATTTATCCATGCTGAAAGTAGATTTAGATGTGTTAGGAGTGAGATAGAGATTATTATCTAATATATGCATCTGATGAAGCATTCATGAAGTCTGTTGATGATCAGAGGCTGTTGTTGGGGCTGCACAAACGTTTTTTTATTTTTGTTTTGTAGACAGACCATGCAGGCCTCAGAAAGTTAAACTTGGGCCTGCGACCATAGTTTTATTGTATTTTGTTTTGAAAATCCACAGCGGAGGTTTGTGTCGTACTACATGCGGTGTATTTTGCATATCTCTCAGTAGCCAACAATCTGTCAGTCTGTTGGCTCGGACATAAACTCGTGTTTAAAATAATACTACATAATAAATGTAGTCTACATTTCATAATAAGAGGTGTAAAACCTGAGAGGATTTTAAATCGCATTTGAACTAAATGCAATCTGTATTTGTATTGTTGATTTAATGTGTGAACGAGGCGATATAGAGAAGGTTAAGCTGTCATTATTAGGCTGTAATTTGTTATATACTGTTGGAATGGGTAAGCAGGCCTATTGTTTTTGGATATTTGTGGAGTTAGGTGGTCCATGAGTGTTTTTTATTGGTTAAGAAAAAGTTTGAGAAACACTGCGCTAGTGGATTGTCAAATTATACAGATGGCTAGTCCGCCACTGAAAATGTCTATGCAAACGTTATTATTAATAATAATTAAAAAAATAATAATAATAAAAAAAAAAAAAATCAATTTTTTTTAATAATTTTTTATTTCCCATTTTTATTTTGTAATCATCTCGTGAACCCCACTCAGGGTGTCGTGACCCCCACTTTGGGAACCCCTGATCTAAAGCACAGTGGGAGAGGTTGGCTCATACAGTCTGTTGTGTGGGGAAACAAGTGTCACCAAGTGTCACCTTTTCGTTGTTTTTATCTTCTCACAAGATAAAGACAACGTTGAAGCGCAGAAGCAGCTTTTTTTAATCAATACTGTGATTGACTATGGGCGTGAAATACCAAAGAGCAGCAGTCGATACCGCACAGTGGGCTATCTCTTCAATCTTGCTTCTCCCCAGAGTGATAATGATAACAATAGATGTAAAGATGACAGGCCCGGGCGGTCTGCATTTCCAATTACACAGCTCTATTCAGTAATTGATTTCAGCATTTGTAATTTTCTGTAATCCCGGCGTTCACCGTGAGAGTAGAGGAATCCATTTTCTGCAGGAAATGAATTGGGGAACGGCCGGAGATAAATTGGATGTTGGAGAGCACACCTGAACACAAGTGGGAGAAGGATAATGAGAGTAGTTTCACAGAGCCCCTAGACACCTCATGTGATTGGCCGAGCTCAACCGCCAGCGAAGCCCCTGCAGGGTCGTCGAAGAGGAATTTATTCAATTTTGTTGCAAATTGATGGAGATGAGGGCAGAGAGAAAGTACATTATGGGGGGATGGAGGGAAAATGTGCGGCAACATTCATGCATTGTGAAGAGGATGTTTCTCAAAGAGCAGTAGAATAATGTCAAAGTGAAAGGACTCCTTTCAAAGCTGGAATGCTCAAAACAGAAATGCACAATAAATGAGTCAAACACATTCATACTTCTTTTAAAGCAAATAAACACAGCTGATGTCAAGTGTGGTAAAGGAAAATATAGAAATATTTGGTAAGATAAGACATCAATACCTCTCTCAAACTATGTTCGATGTAAACCTACTGCCAAAAGCTGGTTAGCTTAGTTTAGCATAAAGAGTGGAAATAGGAGGAAAATACTTCCCACAAAAAGAGCCTCTAATGTTAGCTAATTAAATGTCTTGTTTATTTAATCAGGATTAAAAAGCTAGTATTCTAGAAACTATTATTAAATTCAGGCAAACGCTTTTCTTTGTTAAGTTTTTGTAGACCTCCCCGTCCCCTTAATAATCAGAGTATTGCTCACAGACCCATGAACGCCGTTTCAACGGTTGCTAAGGAAGGATGTCAATAATAATCTTTGTTTACACACGCTCAATTACAGTGATTGGTATGAGTTTTAATTGAAGGCAGACTTTAAATCTCACTGATATAATCATCTCTGATAGTAATTAAACTGTATGCATATTTATTTACATCAAATTCACATTACAGTTAGTCACAATCATAGGCATATATACAGTCTACAGTCATAATTACACTGCTGAAGCATGACACTGTTGTATACAAGTAGCTAGTAGTTCTGTAGTTTAGATAAGAATGGGTCTTGTTCCAAACTTCCAAATAACATGGTTTCTTTCAGGTCCCCAAAATCCCAACTTCTACACACATCAAATCTATAATTTAAATAGCCAAAGAGTTTCGTAATTCTCCTCAAGAGTGCAACAAAACATTCAAAGCAGTCGATTCAACACAATTAACAAAAAGGTATTCACCTGCCTCAGTTTGAAAGTTAAAGATGTCTTATTAAAACCAACACAGCTTCAGAGTGTCATCAAACAGACCCGAACAACACATGTAATTCAAGTTCAATTAAAGGTGTATAATTCAACAGCTCTGGTTCAGTCGAAACAGAGAGTCATGAATAAATATCCTCCTAAACAAAGCAACAAGGGAAATTAAAAACTCACAATGTTTACAGCCGTCCTCCTC